GTCCCTTGTTCTGACCCATGTTGAACTGTGAACTCTCTAGAAGCTCCAGCAAGTTCATTTCAAAATCTCAGTCATTATAAATTCCAACTATTAACAAATGCATGCTTTGCTCAATTTGCTCAGGAAAATCTCTTAAGCTGTCATCAGTTTGGTATTAGTCAAAATAAATACTGAGCAGGACTGCAGAGAACAGCCAATAGAAGCTTCCAGACGGATTGCAGCAGCTGACATGTATTTGCCATGTGCTTATTTTGGGTGCTTGGAGACTTAAGTCCTTCTTAAATGGCAAGAATATTTGGAGAACCATGTGCTCTCGGTGGACAGAAACCATATGTAGGAACTGATCATAGAGGCTTTGGTGTTACATCTCTGGAAAACTCTTATCTAGAAGCTTTGAAGGGGGTGTCTGGCCTTAAGCAGTACATACAAAGACTACAGATCTTGGCGGGCGTCGTGGCTCAATAGGCTAATCCTCCACCTAGAGGCGCCGGCACAACGGGTTCTAGTCCCGGTTGGGGCGCCGGATTCTGTCCTGGTTGCCCCTCTTCCAGGCCAGCTCTCTGCTGTGGCTCAGGAAGGCAGTGGAGGATGGCCCAAGTGCTTGGGCCCTGAACTCGCATGGGAGACCAGGAGAAGCACCTGGCTCCTGGTTTCGGATCAGCGTGGTGCACCGGCCGCAGCGTGCCAGCCGTGGTGGCCATTGGAGGGTGAACCAATGGAAAAGGAATACCTTTCTCTCTGTCTCTCTCTCTCACTGTCCACTCTGCCTGTCAAAAAAAAAAAAAAAAAAAAAAGACTACAGATCCAGCTCCAGCGTTCTGAGCCACTTAATGGAAAGGCTGCCTAGGGGCAGGAAGACCACCCATCCAACTCTGTTTGCACCCAGCTGAATGGTCACAGGAAAATCTCTCTGCACTTCAGGGAGGAGGGCCTGGACATCACTACTACCCAGACATGCATTTGCCCAGTCATGAGCCACAAAGCCTGCTGGTTTCCACGTAACTTAGCTGAAAGCAAGCCTGAGACACACAGTCTTCCTCATGGCTCTCTCCTTTCCAGTTTGGATCGTGGTTAGTCATGTTGAGTCAAAGTTCTCCGGGCTGCATGTTATAATGACCTGGAGCACTGGATAAAACCAATTGCCAGGCCCCAGCCCTAAAGATTCTGACCTGTTCACTGTAATAGATGCTGTGATGCCCCACCCAACAGACCCAAGGGCTCAGCGCCCCAGGTGCTGTAAGTGCTGTCCGCAGACAGCGCTCAGTGTGCCAGCTCTCTCCAGAAAGCGCCATAGCTGAAGATGGTTGCCTTTTCCAAGGCAACAATCTTTTCCTGAGGTAGCCAGCACCTAGCCAATACGGAATGATAAAGAGAACATCGTAACTCAGGACAGCTCTGAAAGGCTACACCAGCTTCAGGGGAGGCTTTCAGTGAGAACACATCGAAGCCCAGAACCTCCTCTGCCTGATCCTTCCTGCCTGCCTAATCCATCCATCCATCCTTCCTTCCTTCCTCCCATCCATCCATCCACCCATCCATCATGATCACAAGAGCACTCCTTTGTAATACTAATCTCTATCTCAATGTCTGCTTCCTTGGTTTTGGGTAAAACTTGGGCATTGATCCCTAAAACCTTCCCAGGTAATGTTAATGAGGGTCAACAAACTCTACTTGAAAGTCAGAATGAGCAAGTTGGTTCAAATACATGACTGAGCACTGACTATGTGTCAAGTATTCATACATATGTTTGCTTCCAAGTGGAAAATAAAGGAAGAAAGTGATCAAGAACACTTGAACTTCAGAAACTATAGACATTAAAAGGTAAGCAAACATCATGAACAACTTTATGTAAAAAAGTCAACAACTTAGACAAAATTCACAAATTATTTAAAAGGTAAAAGTTCCCAAAACTCATTCAGGAAGAAATAGATAACCTGCATAGTTCTATATCTATGAAAGAACATTAATTTTAATTGTAAAAAGAACACACACAGCAGGAGCCAGTGTTGTGGCATAGCATGTTAAGCTGCTGCCTGCAATGCTGGCATCCCATGTGGGCAGTGGTTCCAATCCGACTCCCTGTTAATGCACCTAGGAAAGCAGCAGAAGACGGCCCACATGCTTGGGCCCCTGCCACCCACCTGGGAGATCCAAATGAAACTCCTGGCTTCTGGCTTTGGTCTGTCCCAGCTCTGGCCATTGCAGCCATTTGGGGAAAGAACCAGCAGATGAAGGATCTCTCTCTTTCTCTCTCTCTCTCTCTGTAACTCTGCCTTTCAAATAAATAAATACATAGATCTTTTTTTAAAAAGAGGGGGGAAAAAAAACCAAAGAATTCTCAATTTCCAAGCTAGTAATTAGTGAAAGAGGATTTGAAACAAGAAACACCCCTGAGTCCATAATCACTGGGTTACACTGTCTCTAAGATGAGAAAGGGAAGCACAAAGTGCCCAGGGAACCCAAACCTATCCTGGGGAGTGGGGTCAGAGAACAACTCTGGGGAGCTGAAGTTTCAGTTGCAATCTAAATAAGAAGAGTCTAGGCCGAGGCAACAGGCTGCCCCGATTCAAGGCAGGGGCAACAGGGTGTGTTCAGGAACTGACTGTTCAGTGTGATGAGAATGGAGAGAGCAGGAAGCAAAGCTAGGGAGATGGCTGAACATGTAGAGCCTCGTCCCCAAGAGCAACAGGAAGCCAGAGGGTTACTGCAGCAGCAGGTTTCCCCAGGAGATCTCTGCTGCGAGCCACAGGGCAGATGGCAGGGGAGCAAACACGAACTGCAGGAGGGATGGGCTGTTAACTTCAATTTTTGGAATCAACCTATAGACCAAGACATTAGTCTTATATCAGTGGTTCTCATCTAAGATGGTATGGTACATCTGAGGCCATTTGGAAATGCATGGAAATAATGGGGGTTGTTGGAATTATCACAGGTGTCCAAATCCCTTAAAGAGAGAGATGACCCCACACAAAGGCACAATTGTTCTCTTCAAAATGCCAAAGGGCTCCACGTTGGGAAATACAGCTACAGGTCAAGCCAGGAGGCTTAACTGCAGAAATATAAAGTTTGCAAACCATGACCACAACAACGTAATTGGGTATTAGAGAGAATTTGAGAGGTGGAGGGGGCAAGAGAGCTCAGTGGAGATGTAGGGGTGAAAATGGATTCATTTTACCTCTCGAGGTGTCCAAAGAAACTGTCTGAAGTTTATGAATCCAAAAATAGAGATTTCAGTGTATTAAAGGTATGAAGAGAACCAAGAAGAAAGTTCAAACTTTTACCACTGTGAGGAGGCAAGGGGAAAGGAGAAGGAACAGTGTAGGGAAGCTAACTTTGTAGTCTTTCCCATCAGGCAGTCTGCAAATACTGTTCAGGTTAATGAACAAACAGGTGGAAATCTAACCGTTAGAATGACAGGGAACACACTCAGATGATCAGGAAGAAAAGTGAGCAATGGAACTGGTATTTAAGATCAGGATTAGGAAGCGGTGAGGGAAATTGACTTTTCATTTCATGCCTTGTTTTAAATACCTTTTGCATGTTTATTTCTACCTGCACAGGCTACAGAAGTGAGTAAACTTCGGTTTCCTGTCACTTAGTCCATGCCCCTAGGGTGGACAAGGGCATCCTGAGGAGCTGGTTCTCCGGTTTGCCAGGATGTACTAAGTGCTGCTACAATATTACCTATTTGATTGGCATAAAAATAACAACAAGCAGTGCCTCTGAGATCGTGGTAAAACTTGGACATTTCTGTTTTGCTAGAGATACTATACATTAGTTCAGCCCATTCTAGAAATCAGTAAGACAGCAATGCCTTTCTTGCCTGACGATGGTAAAGAAGCTTGTGAAGATTTTCAGAGATCAATCATGGTAAAGCTTTAATTGTCTGCTGGGAGATGTTCCAGTGAACAAAAGGAATGGGCAGTCTTACTGTGGGATCAATGTAAACATTTCTCTAGCAGGAAGTGCTACGTGGATACAGCTATGATTCTGTTCAGATGGTTGTAAATGAGAGAAACTCGGGCCCCAAATATCTATGAAGAAGGTTCCACTGCTCTCAGACCCATAGCTTCCATGGGGGACCTGGATTTTGGGTAACTCCTGGATAATGTATGTGACCAACTGATCACAACCAATCCTCCATTCATTCAACAATATTTAATGAGCTCCCCTTGTGTGCTGATGGGAGGCAATGACCTTTTCTATATTTCTGCCGGCCCCTTTCTTGCATGGAAAGTATGCTCAAGAAGCATTTTACTGAATGACTGAAAGCCTGAAGAAAAATGGATTTTGCTGCATTGGTTTTGTGTCTGAGAAGCAGACAACAGAACTTACTGCATCTGTGAAGTTTCCTTAAGTTGATGAGTTCTTGAGCTTGGAAGTTACCATTGTCTTTGTACATCACCCCTCAGCCCCCGCCCCTCGCCCGACATCTTCTTGTATTTTCATGCTTTCAAAATCTGCTGCCCAGGGTTCCTTTCCATAACTGCTCTCTGGCCAGCACACAGTTGGCTCCATATTGTTTAGTGAGCTTCCTCACGCTGTGTTCAACCAGTGCCTTAGGCTGTTGACCTCACAGCCTCCGTGCAGAACCAGGCTCACTGATTTCATCTTTTTAAATATTAACATTCCTATTGCTGAGTGTACATGCACATGAAAGAGCAGAAGCGGGGGAGAGAGGGAGAAGCAGAATAAATTAGGGCTTCAAACTCAAGTTCAGTTGTTGAAATGTTTACTTACTCTTCATCTCTAGACCATTCTCAAGCAAGTTTGAGAGAGAAACAAGCAAACTCCCTAGGCAGCCAGGACTCAGAGACCCAGAAAACATAAAAGAACTGCAGAATGAACCTGTTGGTGGCAGGAGGTAAGGTGTGGGAGTAAGGCTGACAGCTTGAACAGTAAGAAAATAACATATCACCAGTTGACAGCAACTAAAGAGACAGTCACTAGCCCAGAACAGCAATTGAAAACAGACGGGGGATGTGCTGGGGTTCCTTTACCTTGGTAGGCATGGGCTTCTTAAAGGTGATTTCAGCTTGCATCCAAACACCCCTGGGGGACTCCAGCACGGACCAGATCTTCTCTTGAACCACGTGGTTCTCTTCAAAGATATACACTGCTAGGGTATCACTCATTTTTAAAAACCCGTAGATGGCATAATAAAAACGCAGACAATACTGCAAGTTTCCTGGTAGGGAGGGACCGTAGAGCCTTCCAATGTAGCCAGGCTGAGATGTAAACTTGGTGTTGGCCAGCAAGTAATACCCTGCAAACCAGACAAAGCATTCAGCATCTGAGCAACACAAAACAATCTCACTCAAATTATCAAGAGGGAACATTCGGTGAAAGTAGTAGAATTTGCCAACAAACACTATTTCCATATTTAAATCACAGAAAACACTTTCTAACATCTTTAAGGGATAGAAAAATCTATGGCTTTGATGGTAAATAAAAGTCTTGGTAAACTTCATAAGCCAGAATAGATTTCCTGCTGCACCTGCCCAGGTTCTAATCATCAGTTAGGATTTATGCTGTGCGTGAAACAAGAAGCATGAAATCATCGCAGGGAGTCCCAGCTGCCTTAGTCAACCAGCTGATTTAGGTTGTATGCCTAACATGAGGGCACAGCACGTGAAAGGCTCTTAGCAAATTTGTCTTCCTTTCTCTGTAGTGACCAGTAGGGGTGGAGGGATGACAGACTGGCCAGCAGTCTCTGTATGTCAGGGCAAAGCCTACTACTCTCCTGGTCATGTGAGCTATCCTCAAAAAGCACATGGAAAATACATATTATGAAAAAAGTATGGATTTCAACATTATTTTATACCAAAAGAAACTTACCTTTTAAATCCATTTTCCACCAGCCTTTTGAAGTACCTTTGTGTGACAGACCTTCCCTTAAAGAGAGTTTTTTAAAGGTATTGGAGAAGCAGAAAGAGAGAATGAGAGAGAAAATGAAAAGAGTGAGTGACGGAGAAGGAAAGGGAGAGCCAGGGCAGGGCTGGGCCAAAGCTAGGAGCTGGGAATTCAGGTTTCCCACATGAATGGCTGGGGCCCAGCTACTTGAACCATCACTGTTGCCTCCCAAGATGTGCATTAACAGGAAGCTGGAGATGGGTGTAGAAGCCAGGCATTTCACACTGGAACACGGTCTAACCCACACCTTAACTGCCCTGCCAAATGTGTATCCTCCCCACCACCTCCCACGCACACCCTAGAGCGGTTCCCCAAACAGATGGCCTCTCCCAGAAGCTGTTAGTCTGGGTTCCTCCCTTATGTCCTCTAAATAATACAAAGAAAACCAAGAGCAGGACCCTTACAGGGTGTAGCTTTGTTTGATTATTTAACTCCCCTCTAAGAGGAAGAGAGATGAGCACTCCCTCACTCTTCACACACAAAGGGGCCAGGAGAGGACCCAGTGGGAAGGCAGCAGCCGGCAAGCCAGGAGGAGCCACCTCACCATGAACCAGTCCTGACTGTGCCTTGGTTTCGGACTGCTGAGCCTCCAGACTGCAGGGAGATACATTCCTGCTGTTTAAGCCAGCCCGTCTGGTATTAGTCACAGCCACCTGAGACTAATACAGTGGCATAGACCAGCCAGAGGAAGCTTTTTGAAACCTAGATTTATTTTACAATTTATTTTTATAATAAGAGAGAGAGAGACAGACAGAAACAGAGAGACAGAGAGACAGAGAATCTTCTATGTACTGGTTCACTCCTCAAATGCCTGCAACAGCCAGTGCTGGGCTGGGCTAAAGCCAGGAGTCAGGAACCGCATCTAGGTCTCTCACATAAGTGGCAGGAACACAAGTGTTGGGCGATGGCCACCTCTGCCTCCCAGGAAGCTCATTAGCAGGAAGCTGGGCCCGAAGCTGAGTCAGGCCTCAAACTGAGGCACTATGATACACAGGATGTATGCATCCAGAGCCACAATTTAAGCTACCAGGCCCTGCCCCTGAAACTTAGATTTAGCCCTTTTTAGCTGCTTTAAACCTTTAAATAGCTTCTCATTTCCATAATAATAAAATACCCACTTGCTTCCTGCCACACCCATGATCTGTTTCCCTCTGCAGCCTCATTTTCCTCCACTCTCCTACCCTCTCTCCCCACAGTGCAGCCATACTGACTTTGCTGCTCCTTGGGCTGACCTGGTCTGTCCAAGTTCAAGGCACCTTCACAGGTGCTATCTGCACAGGCCACCCTACTTCCCCAGCTAACTGCAAATGCCTTTGCAGCAGCTTTCCCCAAATCCCTAACCCCACTCAGGCTCTTCCTTCCATTCTCTCTCCAGTTTCACTCTTCATTTCTTTCACGGTACTGGAAGGGATCAGAACAAGCCCATCCATACCGTGCCACCTTGACACGCTCATTATTTTGAGGTGACAGCACTCAAGAGCAGATGCAGAAGGGCTCTTTGAACTCCCCCTTTCTACTTAATACCTGGTCATAAATTTCCCATGAACAAGATGTCCTCCTGGTGCCAGGAAAGGGAGAACATCCTATGACCCAAGACTGGGCGCCAACACCAAGATGGATCTTTAGGATCAAACCCATCACAAGAGCCCTTATCTTTCATTATTCTCCCCCTACCATACTTCCTAGTCCCACTTCCACAATTTACCACCCTTCAAAGCTTACATCCACTTGTTTTCCACTTCCCCACACTTTCGTCATTCGTTGTTAAAAATGGTATATAAGCTCTCAGACCTGCTACCTCCTTGGATCTGGGCTTTTCCTATGAAGGCTCACAAGTACATGTAACACATTCACAAAATTTCTGTTTTCCTCCTGTTAGCGTATCTTATGTCACTCTGTTAGATCCAGCTACAGAACCCAAGAGGGTAAAGGAAAACATTTTCCTCCCAACAGCACTTACCACAGCTTGTAATTATAAGCTTATCCGTGTATACATTTGTCTAATGTCTCTTTTGCCCATTGAAATGATTGCTAACCACTGAGGTGGGATTCATATCTGCTTTGTTCACTACTGTGTCCCCCAGGAATTCATCTGGCCAAGGTTGGGAAAGATTTTGTACTGCCTATATTTGCACAATTTAGGCCACCTCTAAGAACATGGAGGTACAAAACTGTAGGGGCTCTGTGGGGAGCAACTCGGACTAGACTGTTACTGGAATTAAGACTTATTCTATGCACCTGCTCTCCCACAATATGGCGCTGGGAGAGAAGTAAACAGCTTCTGCACAGCTGCCTCCAGTTCAACCAATAAACTGTAGGACTTGCTCCTGATTGGAGAGCAGCGTACTCGGCGTGTGGGCAGCCGAGTTAGGATTGGCGGAGGAGGACTATAAAGGAGGAGAGAGACGGCATGCACCAGGAACATCTAAGGGGAACATCTAAGGGGAACACCTGTGCAGCCCCCAAGAGAGCCGGCCGGTGGTGTGCCGCTCCCCTGCGGAAGTGGGGAATGTGGCCAGGGGGAACTGCCCTTCCACGGAGGTGGAAGGGATAGTAGCCAACCCGGGAAGAACCAGCAGCAAACCCGGGGAGGGCCGAGCAGACGAAAGAACAGCGCAGGGTCCTGTGTCGTTCCTCCATGAAGAGGGGGAGCGACAGGGCTCTTTTCAAGCCCTTCCCCAGGGCCCATGCAAGTGAGACACCTTGGAATTTCACCTTTCATCAGCTTCAAGGTAAATTCACCCTGGTGCCCAATAGATACAGCCTTGTTGGATAAATGAATGTGAGACTAAATCCCTTGAGAGCACGTTCTTTTTACCTGTCCCCACTGTAGTGAAATCCACAAAGGATGTCATTACATTAGTAGATAATCCTCATACAAAGAGCACTCAAACCCGGGTTTCTAAGAGCCTCTTGTAGATGGATCCATTAAGTGTCCATTCAACATTTTCCCATAGCTTTTTTCTGCCTCACGATGAATATTTTCATTGCGGAAAAATACATATAATATAAAATATACCATTTGAAAACCTGCAATTCAGTGGCATTTAGTGCATGCATAATGCTGTACAACTATCCCACTGCCTAGCTCTGCAACGTGGACATCATCTCAAATGATGGGATGTTTAATGGGTGCAGAATCCCAACACCCATGAGCCAGTCGCTTCCTCCTGCCCCTCCCCCAGCCTCTGTGACTCACTGATCTGCATTCTATCTCTATACTTATCTGTTCTGTGATTTCATAGAGATGGAGTGCAATGGCTTTTTTTTTTTTTTTTTTTTTGACAGGCAGAGTGGACAGTGAGAGAGAGAGACAGAGAGAAAGGTCTTCCTTTGCCGTTGGTTCACCCTCCATTGGCTGCTGCTGCCGGCACGCTGCGGCCTGTGCACCGCGCTGATCCGATGGCAGGAGCCAGGTGCTTCTCCTGGTCTCCCATGTGGATGCAGGGCCCAAGGACTTGGGCCATCCTCCACTGCACTCCCAGGCCACAGCAGAGAGCTGGACTGGAAGAGGAGCAACTGGGACAGAATCCAACATCCCGACCGGGACTAGAACCCGGGGTGCCGGCGCCACAGGCGGAGGATTAGCCTAGTGAGCTGTGGCGCCGGCTGTACAATGGCTTTTTAAAGAGGCTTCATCTCAAGTGAGAGCAGAATACTTTCCAAAGGTTTGGCTACTTAATTAATTGGCAAACACTTTTGCTAGCACAGCAACTTGAACTCCAGTTTTTAAAAACAGCCAAATGCAAGATTCCTCATGGTCTCTGCTTCCCCATAGCTGACTTGTTTTCTTCCTCTTTGAAGTCAACATCTTTGTAAGTATGGAGTCAGAATGGCCACGGACTCATGGAGATGACCCAGAGATGTCCCACGTGGGCAGTCCCTGACTTACCCAAGCCTGTGGTGTGGTCTCCAGCCCGGTACATGTTGGGCTTTACTTTCACTCGGGCCCAACCTGGACCTTCTTTATCTTGGTAAAAGTTGCAGAGATCTTCCTCAAAATCACAGCTCGCTTCCGCAGCACTGAAGGGAGTGTCTGAGCAAAGGAAAGCAAACGTTCTAGTCAAGCCCATGGATCGCAGAGGACTCCATTAACCCGTGGACAGACACGGCTACATTTGTACCAGGGGAGACTGAAGAAGCAAAACACAGCGAAATATTTTTACCCACATGGCATGCTGTCAGGTTAGCATCTAACCAACCTTTCAACATGACAGGAAAATTGTTCTTTTCCTCTCTAAAGGGACAGGAGCAAGGAAGCCTGTTCTCATTCTCTATAAAAATAAACTACAACCAGACTTCAAAAGAAATTTCCTTTCATGATGTAAAAACTGTGAGCATTTATTCACATGCTTCCTCATGATCAAAATTCAGGCATACAAAGTTTAAAAGAAAGACAGAAAGAGAAAAGGAAAGGATTGCAAGGGACTGTTAATTCTAAGACATATTTTGGAAATAGTGGTTTTCAGAAATAACTTTCATCTGTTGAACATTGTGTCAGAAGCACAGCCACTGTCTATTTATAATTGACATTAGTAGTAGGAGCTGATCTGCTTGAAAAAAAAAATCATCACTCTATAAATCACACAGTTCAAAAGTCACACCAATCCCAGGAGGGGTACTGCTATTGTTTCGGCTTGGCTGGGTTCTGGTATCATTTATTCTGGTCTATAAATAACATCGCAAACCAGATTCCCTGGAGGGAATAGAACAAAATATTTCTGCTCTTTTGAGAATAACTTCCAGTCCTATTAACGAGTGACTTGTCAACCTCACTGTTAAGATTGCCCTCTGAGTGCAGAGGGAATCTGACTGTAGCAGTTCAGGACACATTCAGCATAGCCAAGTGTGACCTGGTCTGCGAGCTGATGGACACTGGTCTAGCATTCTAGGGCTGGAGAGAGTTGATGCTGTTTTAATAATGGAAACTCATCTCTAGAGAAGCATTTGAATTCTGGAAAAAGTAAGCTGATAAAAAAAATGGGGGGAGGGAACTGGTTAGAAAAAAAGTTTCAATATAATCTCAATTTGTCAGTTTTCTTTCTTTTTAAAAAAGATTCACTTATTCCCTTGGAAGGCAGAGTTACAGAGAGAGAGGAAGAGACAGAGAGGGACAGATCTTCCATCCACTGGTTCACTCCTCAAATAGCCTCAATGGCCAGCCTGGCCAGGCGAAGCTAAGACACAGGAGCTTCTTCTGGATCCCCCATGTGGGTGGCAGTGGCCCAAGCATCTTTCGTTGCTTTCTCAGGTGCATTAGCAGGGACCTGGACCCAAAGTGAAGCAGCTGGGACTTGAACCCATGCTCAGATGGGATGCCAGCTACACAGGCAGTGGCTTAATCAGCTGTATCACAATGCTGACCCCTCAATTTGTCAATCTTCAAAGAAAGAAAACAATCAAATGGACTGAGGAACTGACCCAAATTAAAGGGCATGAAAGAGATAGGACGATCAAAGACTCCAAGAGATCCAAGATTCAATCTTGGCCAGCAAAACAAATACCTGTCAAGGACATTATCAGGGCAACTGGAGAAATTGGTGTATGGACTGCAGATTAGCTGATAATGTTGTATCAGTATTACATTTCCTGAACTTTGTAATTATCTTATAGCTAGGATGAAGGATGTGCTGAATTTTAGAAGATACACACTGAAGTCTTTTGGGGCATGGAGTATGCAACCTACTCTAAAATGCTTGATTAAGCAAACATGGCACAATGTTAACAACTTGTAGATCTAGCTGAAGAGTACATGGGAGTTATTTGTAGTATTCTTACAAGCATTGTCTGAGTTTGAAATGATACAAAAATAGAGTCCTCAAAATACTAAATTTAAAGAAGTGACTAACAACACATTATAAAAAAAGAATAAGCAAATGTTCTGGAACCTGGGTTTGGGCAACACACCCTAGAAGCAAACTCTAATGGGCCAGAGAGAAGAATGTAAGGAGAATTCTCAGTGCTCTATCACCGGTGGATGAGCTCACACCCTGACCTGCATGAATTTCTGTCAGCACCAACATTCTCTAAGCCCTGAAGAGAGAGTCTGTGGTCAACAATGTCCTACAAACAAGGATTTTTCCATATTCTCCCACGGAGATTTGAGACCACAGGAAACCCTGTGATGATCTCCAGTACCAAGCAACCCTCTTTACCTGCTAATGAAAAAACATGAAAATCTAAAACCTGTAGATGGTCATCTAGCTCAGGAAGTGGCATGGCACTCCCATGCCACGCACAAATAGAACAGAAGCCAGCAAAATCACCCACCAGTTATGCACCTCAGAGTCACTGCCCTTGGGCAGCTCCAAGAGAATCTCAACCCAATTATTATGTGTGTGAGAGGCAGTATTAAAAAACTTTAGGGTTTGTAGTAGCTTTATTCATAACCGGCAAAACTTAGACTCAACTAAGATGTTCTTTGGTAGATAAATGGATACTTAAACAGTGGTATATTTAGACAATGGCATATTAGAGTTAAAAAGTGTTATCAAGCCAAGAAAAACATGGAGGGAATTTAAATGCATGTTACTATGTGAAGGAAGATATTCTGAATAGGCTGGTGCCTTGTACATTGTATGATTCCAGTTACATGGCATCCTGGAAGAGTAAAAACCATGGGGAGAGAAAAGAGGGGCTAGCAGGGAGGGAGGAATGACTAGGCAGATCACAGAGGTAGTGGAAACTATTCCACTAGATACGATAATAGTAGGTATATGTCTACATATGCTTGTCCAAACCCATGGAATAAATAAATACACAACCCCAAGAAAAAAGTCTTAGCATAAACCATGAATCTGGGTGACAGTGGCAGAGGACGGCTAAGTTATAAGGGAAAGTGGTACTTCCCACTTGATTTGGCTGTGAAGTAGATTTGTCTGTAACCTGATGAAAAGGAAACCCCAAAGCTGTAATTCAAAAGCTCTCTTCTTTCTAACCTTGATTGTTGCTTCTACTCTGAGACAGCACCTGATTCTTGAAGATGGGGCCAGAGACCTAGGGTGGACCGAAAGCCTTTGCTTCGAGCTTGTTTCACAAGTCTGTGTCAAGTGGGGATCACAAATTGCGCTACCTGGGAGTGTCTGTGACATATCTGAAGCACAGGGTAGAATCAGAGGCAGTTGGAAGACCCTGAGCATCAGTTGATAATCAGGGAAAGAAAAAAAAAAGAGCCTCTTGAAGCAAGTTACCCAAGAGCATCATAATGCTTTAGTTAATTGCTTGCTTTCTGACCTTAAAACATTTTAGAAATGAGAGGCTTTGAAGATAATCTAATTAGCTGGAGTGTGTTACAGTTTGAGAAGAATGGTCAGGAGTCCTTCTCATCCTCTCCTCTGCTCCACGGAATTCATGGGGACAGAGTCAGCATCCGTCCTATGGATCTAAAATACTCATCAGCCTTCTGGTGTTCAAGAGGGATACTGGGTGCAGGGCACTCTACAGAGGGCTAAACTCACAGGCTACTTTGATTTTTCAGCATGAGCCAGCCCAAAGGTAGGCTGAGACAGCGCAAAGCTGGCTTGGGGAAAAGAGTGAGTCTGGTGCTAGAAAGAGGAACCACGATGAAACTAGGAGCTGGGCCACTGGCTGGGCTGCAGATGCCCTCAGAGGAATTTGGGAATAGGGAGGACCAGGGACATCATCTGTAACCTAGGCAGCAACCGGAGCTGGGTTTCCAACTGGTCAAGAGTTCTGGCACTGTGTTGTGGTGCATGGCTGATTTGAGGACTCAGGTACAGGTCCTCTGAGTGTCAGGATCCTACCAATCCCTGGCCAGAGAGGAGGTTTGGGGACTGCATATGGCAGAGCTATGGAGCACTCTGCGTAGGGTGGGGCAATACAGCAGGATTGTTAGAAGTGGGTGGGACTGCCTGTTAAGCATTCAAGTATTTAAAGACCAATAGTTATGCCTTATGGTTATGCATCTGGTTTAGACTCTGGGCCAAGCATAAGGGTGGATGGAAAAAGCATGGGTAGGGAAGTTCTGTTACTGAAATGGGGCTGGAAGCATCCTTGGGGGCTGCTTGGAGAGCCATACGACACCAGTGTTTCACCTTGTGACTGTGCAATGGCTCTGGTCCAGGAAGACTAGATTAATTCTAAGCCCCACCAAATGGTGGGAGCAAGATGCTTCCTCTGCTGCAATCATTCCTGTCTCAGCCTAGCAGGGAGATGAGGGAAGAGAATGCTAGGTCCAGCTGGGAAAAGCAGAGACAACAAGTCTGGAGCTAACCAAGATAAAGCAAAAATGTTGGCACCTGTTATGAAACAGAAGGGCATGAACTATTTGAAATGTAAGACGAAGTATGAAAAGTAGAGGGCTCAGCTTCCAAATTTGCAGAATCCTGCCTACAGCTGCTCAGAGAAGCCTAAAGCAGGCTCCAGCTGACACGTTCATCACTGCAGTGCCCTTTGCTGGTGCTTTTTAGTTTCAGTCTGACCCACTATTCTCCAGGGAATGGAGAGCTGTAATCTGAAAATGAAGGCATGATATTGTCTCATGACAAAGCATTTTCTGTGTGTCATACACTATGCTATAGCCATCCCAGACATTAACTCATACTCTTTCCAACAGATCTGTGAAATGGGTTCTTCCATCCTTGCCCTCCAACTGTAGAAACAGAGTCTCAAAGACATTAAAACAACATGGTCAGGTTCATGTAGCTTGCACATGGCAGAATAGGGATGTGAATCCAAATTCCTGGTTCTTGAGCACAAAACCGATGAAGCAATTAAACTGTGTTAAAGCCACACTGATATGCTGGGAAGTTCTGAAGACCAATATAGAGCCACGGTTAACCTAATTGTGTCAAAATGCATACTTGTGGAGGTTCCTGCAAGGACACGGTATCCATGAGGGCTGCATTTTACAGCCTGGCCAGCCCTCTTAAATGCTCCTTGTTTTCCTGGAATCTCTTTCCTTCGCACCCGTCAGATCACAATGCAGGAGAAAAGAGCCCATGCATGTTGAGTATGTTTTTTAAAGAGAGCGGCTCACTAGGCTAATCCTCCGCCTTGCAGCGCCGGCACACCAGGTTCTAGTCCCAGTTGGGGCGCCAGATTCTGTCCCAGTTGCCCCTCTTCCAGGCCAGCTCTCTGCTGTGGCCAGGGAGTGCAGTGGAGGATGGCCCAAGTCCTTGGGCCCTGCACCCCATGGGAGACCAGGAGAAGTACCTGGCTCCTGCCATTGGATCAGCGCGGTGCACTGGCCACAGTGTGCCGGCCGCGGCAGCCAATGGAGGGTGAACCAACGGCAAAGGAAGACCTTTCTCTCTGTCTCTCTCTCTCACTGTCCACTCTGCCTGTCAAAAAATAAAAAAAATAAATAAATAAAAAATAATAAAAAAGAGAGAGCATTTTCAAGCATTTCTTCTAAAGCAACTTGAGTTGATTCTATTACCCCCAGCTGCCTCTACACCATGCCCTTTTCCCTGTGCAGACGTTTGAATGAACACTCTTCTCCTCCATATACAGGTATGCAATATTCAATGTAAATGCCTAGCGTCAGAGAAGAGGAACTTTCCAAAAATAATGATAGATTAATGGTGAGATTACTATTAACACAGTTGAAATAGTAACTAACAGGACTAAGGGGCAATCCAATTTAGAGAAGTAAAACAATTTTGGTTTCAGTGTTTTGTCAATTTTTTTAGACTTTTTAATCTTTGATTATCATTCATATTAAATAATTTAAGAATATGCAAATCCAGTCTGGTTCTATCTGCTTCACTACCCCTGCCCTTAATTTGAATTAGTAAAAATATAATATTTAGCTTCAGCAAATTAGTAGACTTCTCTTTACTTTGGGGTAACAGTTTAGTAAGTATAAATTTTTTTTTCTTTGTCCCTTTGCTTGTATATAATATACCTAAAACCATATTAAGAAATCAGGGGCTAGCGCTGTGGCACAGCAGGTTAACGTCCTGGCCTGAAGCGCCGGCATCCCATATGGGCGCCGGTTCTAGTCCCAACTGCTCCTCTTCTGATCCAGCTCTCTGCATTGGCCTGGGAAAGCAGTAGAAGATGGCCCAAGTGCTTGGGCCTCTGCACCCGCATAGGAGACCTGGAAGAAGCTCCTGACTCCTGGTTTCAGATAGGCAAAGCTCTGGCCATTGCGGCCAACTGGAGAGTGAACCAGCGGATGGAAAACTTCTCCCTTTCTCTTTCTCTTTCTCTCTCTGCCTCCCCTCTACCTGTGTAACTCTGACTTGCAAATAAATAATAAAATTAAAAAAAAAATAGAAATCAATTCTATCTTAAGTGAAAGTCAAACTTCAGAGGCCAAGTTCAAAAATTTATTTCCTGTGCTCCAAAACCCAGAGTGAGGGTTCATTAATAAGATGGGATGACCACAGTGTCCCCCTGGATCTCCCAAGAAAACATTTAAGCAGTGAGGTCAGTTGCATTTATCTGGGTTACCACTAATATATTGTTGTCCTTCTTATTCTCATTTTGTTCCTGATTCACTTGGAATCAATTCGTTTGTCCAGCTTCCCAGAAAGTAAAAAGCAAAAACAAAAAATTCTTCTCTTTCTAAACATCAATCAAATTTATGAAACTAAAAAATTGATCATGATAGAATAATTTGAAGGTTCACTTTAAAAGAGAAAGTAACTAAATTAACAACACATAATATTTAGTGCAAAATATTCTAGAGATGTCTACCAAACACTAACATCTTTAAACAGGAGGACATTGATAAATCTTGTACACATCAATTTGTGAAGAGGTTTTATAATTTTATTCAGTAGATTGTTAGAGGTTTTTCCATCTACCCACTCACGCATCTATGGACCCAAGATGTCTTATAAAAGGATGAAAACAGCTTAAGTTTATTAAATTTTCCTTTCCTGGTAGGCAGGAAACTAGCATTCGGTGCCAGAAAAATTAGATTCACTTTGTGGAGGGGGGGAATATTCCAGAAAAAATTACTATTTGGTTGAATATTTTTCCAAGGATGATATAAGAGGAAGGGTGAGGAAACCAAAAGCAATTATAACAAGCCTTAACCACATGCTTCAGTTGGGAAAGGAGATTTCAGTAATGAGGAAGAAGAACAGAACACTGCTCACCTGTCTGATTCTGGCAGTGAACAGGAGAGAAAGCAATATCATCGAGGGCAACATATCCTCCTTTGGGACCATTGAAAGCAACTTCAAAAATAACCTGCAGAGAAAAATGACATATTGTCACGTTTATATAATTCCTGTTAGGCTTACACGCTCTTAATCATGATTTTAATTTTTTAAAGGTTTATTTATTTGAAAGCCAGAGTTAGAGACAGACAGACACACACACAGACAGAGACAGAGAGACAGAGGTGTCAGTCTTTCATCCACTGCTTCATTCCTCAAATGGCCACAACAGCTGAGGCTGGGCCAGGCCGAAGCCAGAAGCCAGGAGCCCGGAGTTTCATCTGGTTCTCCCACATGGGTGCAGAGGCCTAAGCACTTGGGCCATCTTCTACTGTTTTCTCAGGCGAATTAACAAGAGACTGGATTGAATCAGTGCCCATATGGGATGCTGGCATTGAAGTTGACAGCTTAATCTGCTTTGCCACAGCTCTGGCCCCTTGATTTTAATTTAAAAATTGTTTTAAAATCCCAATTTGTGTATTTAGCCTTGATATTCTTTTTTTTTTAAAGATTTATTTGTTTATTTATTTGAAGGGCAGAGTTACAGAGAGGCAGAGGCAGAGAGTGAGAGAGATCTTCCATCTGCCGGTTCACTCCCCAGATGGCTGCAATGGCTGGAGCAGTGTTGATCTGAAGCCAGGAGCCAGGAGCCAGGAGCTTCTTTTGGGTCTCCCACGCAGGTGCAAGGGCCCAAGGATTAGAGTTTTCTTCAGTTATTTTCCCATGTGCATTAGCAGGGAGCTGGATCGGAGTGGAACAGTCAGGACTCGAACCAGCACGACATGGATGATCGCATCACAGGTGGTGGCTTAACCCACTGCACCACAACACCGGCCTCTTAACCATGATTTCAATGGCATGTCAGACCAGGTGGTACTAAGTTACAAGGACTTGTGTGCACTCCAGTTACCAAATACTGGAGTTTGGGTGACATCCTACTCAACTTGTCATTTCTTTCAGGGAGAATGAAACTGCTATGGCCTGAATGTTTGTTCCCCACTCCCACCACCACCCCTCCCCCTAACAAAGTCATATATTGACGTCCTATTCCCCAAGATGATGTTATTAGGATTGGGGTCTTGCCTGGTGTGGATACGATCTGAGTGGTCCCCCCAGGGTTCAAGTGCTGGAGGTTTGGTCCCCAGAGTGCAGATGTTGAAGCTCTGGGACTGTTAAGAGGCGAGGCCTGGTGGAAGGTAATTACATCATGGGGCCAACCCTGCCCCCCACCCCACTGAATGGACTGATGCTTGTTTTAGGCATCCCCATGCACACACACTTGGGCCTTCGAGTTTGTGGCTGCTTTCCATTCTGTTTCTCTATCAGAGGCCCCAGCCAGGAGAATGGCACCTGCAGCTGCCAGTGTACCTCATCTCTCTATAAAGCGGCCAGCCTTGAGAACACTGTTGGAGCAACACAAAGCTAACTAATCCTCCTTGCAGGGCCTTGCCCTCATGCATGGGATTAGTGCTCTTAGAAAAGAGGCATAAGGAAGCTGGCTCACCCCTTCCACTACGTGCAGACACACAGAGAGAAGGTGTCATCTATGACCCAGGAAAGGGGTCTTTGCCAGACACCACATCTTTGGGTGCTTTGATATGAGACTTCCTGATATCCAGAACTGTGAGAAATAAATCTCCGTTGTTTCTAAGCTATCCAGTTTAGGACATTTTGTTAAAGTTGTCCAAATGGACTAACACAGAAAACCTGAACTGGTGTTTTACTGATCTCTCTTGAAACCGTCAGCTGGTGTCCATGTAATTTCTGATGGAACTACAAAATTAATCAGCATTAAGAACTTCAATGACAGGGAAAACAGGCTAAGCAAAGAAAGTAGGTCAGGTTCTTCCCCTGCTGTCCACAGGCAGCTGAGCCCCTCTCAGTCCCTTTCCCTTCCTCCTAGTGGAACTCTACGTGAGGAGCTGGACCAGGCAGCAGTCAGGGGTGAAAACACTGATCTCAGCAGTCCAGACATGTTCCTGAGGGTAGAGAGCACATGGTTTCATGAATTCAACTTGAACTCTCCAAAATACAGTGGGAGTCCTGGAAGTATATCTCTGGCGAGGAGTAAGTGAGTGGTTTGTGAATGCAGAAACAGATCTGGACAGCGAAGGGTTAATTAAGTTCACACACTTGACACAGGTCCATGACACTGAGCTCTCAGGGTGCTGCTTGATAAACAAAATGAGTGACAGAATTTGCTTCCTACTGGGCAGGTGCAGTAAAAATACAAGCATTTCTGCTCCGGACATGCTAATGACAGCCCACGTGCCAGTGTGTTCTCTCCTGCTCAGAAAGAACGTCTCTAATGTTTGTTTTGCCTTTTTAAAATTCATTCGAGAATATGGTGACATTAAAGTCACTGATGTGTGCAGAACAAGTTTCTCTTCCTGCCAGTTTGTAAGAGCACGTAATACCAGCCAATGGGTTCACAGTAGAAGGGCAGAATTACATGTGTGTGGACCCACAGGGTATAGACGGAGGTTCAGTGTACCACTGCAGCCTCTCAAGTGCCAGTCTGCACACATTCAGCGAAGTCGCCCTCCCACAAATGCTGCCCAGAAAGTTTACGGCTGTGCGAAAGGAGAAACACTGTCAGTGTGCCTGGGTGTGTGACTCATTCCATTGTGATAAGAAGGCAAATTTCCTGCTGTGCACGCACTTCTCTTTCTCCTTGCAACCCAAACTCACTAAAAACTTTCCACTGGGCTGCCGGAGCAAACCAAGGCCTGGTCAGACTTTGGGATAGGAAATAGCTCACATTCTGCAAAAGGCACTCTGCTCTTTCTGGGATGGCTGGGCCAGGGGGTGAAGAGCAGGAGAGGGATGGGGTGCAGGGAGTGGCAGGCTCACCATCCGTAGATGGAACATGTCAGAAGCCAAAACCCGGCCCCCGTGTTCTCTGCAGCTCCACAGAAGGCTCACAGATGGCACACTGAAAAGCTGCCAGAGGCATACTCTGCTGCTTTTGCACTTTAAAGGCCACTGGAGAAGGTACCGCAAAATGCACAAAGTGACAAGTGGAGGGTGCTAATAACTCATGGTAACGAAGAGTCTACATGCAGCTCCAAGTCCTTACACCAGTCCCACACTTAGAGCAGGCACAGGGCCGCACCCACTGATGCTCAAGGTGCGGAGGGTCTGCAGGCAGAGCTGAGCCATCTCCTCCAGCTGGAGGTCATATCTGAGTCCAGGAACTTTCCTAAGCGCTCTGGCATTCGCCAGCTGTGTGACCCAGAAAAAAGATGTTGAACTTTTTGGACATTCTGTTTTCTCCTTCCTCGTCTGTAAATATGGGGATGATTTTATCTGGATTTTGTTGGATGGTCAGTACTGAATACACTAGTCAGTTCCAAAACACATACATAGATAGAGATATCTATGCATCAGGTCTACAAGGGCAAATAAACATAGAGATGTCACAAGTACTCATCTTTGTGGGATTGGCCCAAGGCCTTTTAATTTGCTTCTCTGAATTTTCTAATTCTTCTGCGTTGCACATTTATCATTTATGTAACTTTAAAACATTCTAAAACCAAAGCACTATGGTCTGTTTCACCCAGGATGATTGAAGAAATGTTTATTTCTGATTTTATGACATTTATCCTGCAAAGAATGAAATAAGTCTCCTCCCCTCCCCCCCAGATAGACAACTCCCTGAAGTCAAGGTAACCTTCACTTGATCTTGGCCAAAAGGCCGAGAAGCAATCAAGGTAACCTTCAAAATTGCTCTCAAGGATGGAAGCACAGGGGTGATCTGGGGTTAGATGACTCTGAGCCCCTCTGTGAGGTCTCCACGGCCACAGTGCAGGGTTCAGAGGGACAGTGTGCCATGAGCACTTGGTAGTTAACTGGATTTTCTTCACATTTATTCTTATGGAAAATATTCTTGCTAGAAAATGAAAATGACAAAGAAGGAAGGCAGAAGGAATACAGAGGAAGGAGCTGCAGAGGGGACCAGAAAGACTAAGACTGAGGTACAGCAGGGGTGGAAGGGGAAAGGGATCTTGGTCAATGGGTGCAAAGTTACAGTTGGATAGGGGGAGTAAGTTCTGGTGCTCGGGTGCACAGTAGACTGACCACAGTTACAAACAACATGTGCTGGGCAGCAGGATTTCAGCCTAGCCGCTAAGACACCTGCAAGCTATGTCACAGCGGCTGCTTCAATCCTTGGCTCCAGCTCCTGATTCCAGCCTCCTGCTAATGCAGACCCTGGGAGGCAGCCATGATGGCTCGAGTAGTTGGGTTCCTGTCACTCATGTGGGAGACCCAGATTGAGTTTCCATCTTCTGGCTTTGGCCCTGGCCCAACCCTGGCTTGTTGTAGGCACTTGGGGGAGTGAATCAACAGATGGGAAGTTCTCTCTTATCTGTCTCTTTGCCTCTGCAATCAATTTTAAAATGCTTTTAAAACTACAATATGTTATACACTTCAAAATAGCTGTAAGAGAGGATTTTGAATGTTCTCACCAGAAGCAAACCATAAATGTTGAGGTGACAGATGAACTCATCACCCTGATTATATTATCATATGAAGTATACATGAATTAAAACATCATATGGTATCCCATAATTACGTACAATATTTTTTGTTAGTTTAAAATAACAGTTAAAAACAATTCAAAATAAGCCCACCTTAAGACAAAAACTAAAAGGATTGAAGTACAGCAGAAAAGAAAAACCGACCCTGAGGAGGGAAAGTATTGGCCCCCAAAGCTGTGCAGGGCCAGATAGGGCACAACTGGTCCCTTGCATACCTACCTCCATGGGATAGGGGGCGCTGAACTCGACTTCCGCCAGATTCCAGGCAGCACTCCCTGGGGCGTCCATTTTCCAGATCTCCTCATAGAGGCCGGACCCATCCCGAGTGTAGAGGGAGAAGACGTTGTCATTCCCCTGCTGGAGCTGGTAATAAAAGGACAGGCAGCCAGACATGGGCGCCGTGGTCATGGGGGAGATGAGCTGCGCCACCTCCTGGAAGTGCTTGACGTAAACGGAGTCCACGTACATGTAGTGGCCTGGAGATCACACAGAAGGAAGATGTGTCAGACGGGAGGGGTTTGCAGATGAAACAGCGTGGGCCTGGGGTTTGCTTCTACATAATCCGGTGGGAGCCGGGGGAGGAAGCAGGTGAAAGACGTTGGGCCAAGAGTGGAAAAATACTGCAGGTGGGCGCCAGGGACACCAGGTTTATTGTTCTTGGTGAAATACAAGATGAGACCTGCTCTTTTTGCATGAAATATAAAAACATACAGAGAGGTAGAGGCGTCATTTGTACAGCGCCTGATTTTTCACAGGCTGAACCCACTCCTGGGGAGGCACAGAACATCACCCGAGAAGCCACCCTCCTATGCCTTCGCTGAGTAATTCACTTCCAAGAGCATGCAAGGGCAGTGTCCATCTGTTGTCCAAGGGCGGAAGACCCACCTGGACATCTTTACAGGATGTGCAAAATGTCCCTGTGTGCATTTTGAACGATTCTGAAGCCAAACCAGATGGCAATTTGCACACATTAATAGAACATACAGGCTCCTTGGCACTGCAGATAAGAGTGTGAACTTGTGAAGTTGCTCCTGGCAGGCCTTGTTGGCCTCTAGGCTTGGAGGCTGACCTCCACCGGAGGCCTCTAGGTGGGGCAGAGTGGGGAAGGCTGGGAAGGGAACTGAGTGTGAAACCTGCCCTACTCCCCACCAGCTCCGGGCCCTTACACAAGTTTCTGTATTTGTCTGGGCCTCAATTTCCTGATGTCTAGAATGGGAATCAAATACAGCAGCTGCCCCCTGCACCTGGGAGAGATTGGTTCAAGGACTGCTGGGGACACTACAGTCTGCGGATGCTCAGGTCTCTTATATAAGATGGAGCCGTATTTCCATTTAATGAGCCCAGGTCTTTCTGTATACTTTAAATCATTTCTAGGTTATTTATAATACCTAATAAGTGTAAGTGAGGTTTGAATTGGTGTTACATTATTTTTTTTACATTGTATTACTTAGGGAATATTGACATGAAAATAAAGATTTTACATGTTCAGTATACACATAATTTTCTTTTCCAAATTAGTTTCCTCTTTTAAAAAAGATTTATTTACTTATTTTAAAGGCAGAGTGACAGAGAGAGAGGAAGGGAGGGAGAGTGGGGAGGGAATGAAAGAGAGAGAGAGATCTAGAGAGAGAGAATCTTCCATTTGTTGGTTCACTTTCCAAATGCCTGCAACAGCCAGGGCTAGGCCAGGCTGAAACCAGGAGTTAAAACCTCCAGATCTCCTATGTGAGTGGCAGGAACCCAAGTACTTTGGCCATCATTTGCTGCCTCCCAGGCATATCAGAAGGGAGCTGGATAGGAAGTAAGGTGGCACAATCCCAGGTACTCTGTTATGGGATGCAAGTCCTGCAAGCAATGACTTAACATGCTGTGCCACAACACCTGGTGCATCTAAGCATTTTTAGTGCATAGTTGGTGGAATTCATAGATGTGGAACAAGTGAATGTGGAATTTGTATGAGCACCAAAGAAAATTACGTGTGTAAAGTGAGTAGCATGTGCCTGACACACTGTAAATGCCTTATATATTTATAATGAAATAAAATAATGCCATCAGTGTTTCTAGGGCTATAGTCTTTTCTTTTTGTGTAAAGGATAGTTATTATTATTTGCATTTCTTTTTTGTAAAGATATATCTATTTATTTGAGAGGCAGAGTTACAGAGAGAGAGGGAAGACACACACACACACACACACACACACAGAGATAGAGGTCTTCTATCCACTGATTCACTCCCCCAATTGTTACAACAGGAAGAGCTGGGCCAATCTGAAGCCAGAAGCCAGGAGCTTCCTCTATGCCTCTCACGCTGGTACAGGGGCCCAAGCACTTGGGGCATTTTCCACTGCTTTCCCAGGCCATCAGCAGAGAGCTGGATCAGAGGTGGAGCAGCCAGGACACAAACCAGCATCCAAATGGTGCAGGTGGAGGCTTAGCCTATTACGCCACAGTGCTAGCCCCTACTCCTGATGTTTAAAATAAATAAAAACACTCTCACAGATCCCCCAAAATGTCACAGCCTCTATACACAGTTCCCACTGCTCCTAATGAGCATGTTGGCCTTGGATTCTTCTTAGACCTTGAAAACCATTTTTCCCCAAATTTTGTTCCTACCTAATCCCAGCTTAGTCTCTGCTTATTGAAAGCCCAAACTGACCTAGCCAAGAAGAAGGAGATCAGCTCCCTAGACTGAGGAGTGTCTGCCTCCAAGGATTCCAGAAGACTCTCAGGGAATCCGAGAAACTTCACACACCTTCTTGAAGTGCATAACTGTGCTCACCTGGAGAACTCACACTTGTCCCCATTATAAATTTATCATCTTTGCAACTGCCAGGCATCTGGTATCTTGGTTAAAGGATATGGAGTCACTTGCTGGGTGGACAATATTCTAATCTGTGCATTTGCAGCTGATGTGCCTCATTAGCAACTCGGGCTGAAGATGCTGGGCCAAGCCAGCCACAGTCATATTTCTGACCCCAAAAACATGCAACAAACACAATGTGACCTGCCCAAAGTGAGTCAGAGAGGCTGCTGGGAATCAGATTGAGACTGCTGACGCCAAGTCTCACATGGAGCCACGAGGCCAGACCACACTCCACCGCCCCTTTCCCTCTGCATCATTCATCTCCTGCCAAAGCTGGGTACTATTTACTGATCAGTGAGTAACAAAGGTTGCTCATTGTACGACTATCATCTTACCTGAAGGGGTGGGGGTAATTCAGAAATCACCAGTCAAGGGTCCGCCCTAGAGGCCAGGAGGGAGGAAGGACAGCTACTCAGGCTGTGTGCCACTGGGAACACTCTGCTCTGAGGAAGACAGCCAACGGCTGGATGAGTGCAGGTGCCATGCTATGCTCCTTTCCAGAGAGAAGACAGAAGGTGCTGGGAGGACTTGAGACATTATGTGTAGCATCTGGTGTTATGAGCGGCTTCCAGCCCAGCCCAGTGAGGCCAATGCTCCTTTCTGGCCCAGGATTCCAGAACTTCCAGACCCCTCTGCCAGAGGAAATTGTTGTCAGATCCTTAAGCCTGAGTAGGATGACCGAGACTGACAGGATCCGATAACCACCCAAATCATCAGGATCCTGCAGGCCACAGAGAGTTTAAAGTATTAAAACTCTGAAAACTTACTGAAACTCTGAAAGAGGCCGTGCAGGGGGACAATGGGTTTCCCAGGAGATTAAGAATTGAGCAGAATTTTTTCTTTCACTTTTAAAATGCAGTTATTTTAAGAATTGCAGCAGGACAGAGAGGGACAAGATGAGGGGGAGGAAGAATGAGAAGGAGAGGGAGATCGATCTCATTTGTTGGTTTACTCCCCAAATTCCTACAGTAGTTGGGGCTGGTGCAGGCCAAATTTGGGAGCCGGGACCTCAGTGTAGATCTTCCACATGGGTGGCAGGGACCCAAGTACATGAACTATCACCTGCTGCCTCCAGGGTATGCATTAGCTGGAAGCTGCAACCAGAGTGAGAGAAGAGACACTCTGATATGGGAGGCAGATATCCAAAGCACCATCTTAATCACTAGGCCAAATGCTCAACCCAAGAACTAAGAATCTTATGGCTGCTCCTCTCAAGTCTGCATCGCTTTTCCATATTCAGAGTGGAACCCATCTATCATTCTCTGACCATGGATTACACCCAGAAGTGTGTACGAAAACAGTTTCGAACAGTTGAAAGATCCCGATGCTCAGTAACACCAGCCAAAGCTCAGGTCCCCTCTGGGATGAAGCTGAGAGTGCTGGTATCTGTTCACCTTCTTCTAAATGGGACTCTTCCCTCTGTCTGGCAGCAGCCATCTGTACCACCGAAACGTTTCATGTGGAGTGGAGACAGTGGCCCATAGTGGGCAACCATTTTCCCTTGGATTAGGAAAACTCTCAGGGCAGTTCCCCACTGTTTGTTTTCAAACAGTCTGGCTGACCAGCATTCCCCAAAGATTGCCCAAGTCTTGCCATGATGCCAAAGGCATTCTCTGACTCAGCTGAGACCCAGCCCTGCTGGCCACATTTGCACTCCAGTTGCATTGTCCACAGTGTTGCTGGTTGTACAGGCTAGGGAGCCGCCTGGGTCTGAAGAAACACACACCAGATGGAAATACCCACTGCTGGTGGTCAGCACCCAAGACTGCACGTTAGCATGGCTGCCCCCACGCCACCAGTCTGATGACTTTAGTTCTAGGGGTTCAAGTGGCTCTTAGTATAGCAAAGGCAAATCCAATCTTTTTATATAGCATTTAAGGATGATTGTTAATTGGGAATTCTCCTAATCTCTTCTAAGACATCAAAGCCAAGAACAATGGGTATTGACAAGAACTTCTACTTTCCAGGGTGGTGCTAGACCACATATGCTAAGTGCCAGCATGCGGCACCCAAGCCAGCTCTACGAATTTTAGCTCCTGCCTGTATACATGAGAAGGCTAGAGTTGGGGCAGGGAGACTGGAGACAGGAGGGTCTTTGAAGAGAGCTGTCATGGAGCTGGTCTTCTATGTGCTTCCTTTCAGCCTCTCAAGGGAAGAAGAGAAGCTCCCGCTTTTCTTACCTTGACCCAGGAGGGGGCTGAGGGAAGTCACTGTGGAAAGGGGAGAGGAGGGAGACTGCCACCTCCCCTCATCCTCTCTCCTGTGTGCAGACATCTCCCAGGCTCTGCAACTACTCAGGCCTTGAGCTGAGCACACCAGGGTTCTGGAGAGAACTTCATCAGTGGCAAGTGGAATTTGTGGGGTATGGAGACTGGTGCCTGACGCTTGACTGCAGCCATCTAAAGGCAAGAAGCTGATGGCAGGGGCCCATGAGGAAGAGTGGACAGGAAGGACTGTTGCCAGAGAGCTCCCAGGTTGAAGGGGCAGAGACACCAAGTCTTCCCTTCAGCTAAGTAGGCAGAAAAAACTGGCTGGGCTCAGTGCCTTGAAGAACTCATCTCAACAGGGCTGCCTGCCAGCACAGTAACCCCCAAAGAAAGGGGCTACTGTAGGG